GTGAGATAGATGTATTGAATTCGGATGAATTGACAATCGGGTCTTCTCGAGAAATGCTACCTTAGCGAATACTCGACTCACTCGCACGCAGCGGTTCTCTGCGCGCGACACGGGATCGTGCACGAACATCCGCGCCCTAATTATAACGTACTTATTATAAATTCAAATCAATAATAAATGTATGGTTAATCCACGCTGAATGATATCTGTGTCTGTTTGAACCCAAATATAAAAAATTAGCGTCCTTCAACACTTGATGACGCGCGTTAGAGCAATAATGGGTAGAGCACTAAATATGTAGGTATTCTCACGTCTGCGCCATTTTCGCTCCATTCCCCCACTCCTTGCCCTCTCGCCTAATCACCATAAACTTCTTAGCTTAGCGAGGGCGAGCTAAGAAGCTAAAAGGGCGAGAGGGCAAGGAGTGGTGGAATGGAGCGAAAATGGCGCAGACACGAAAATACTCACGTTTATAGTGCCTTATATTGAGAAGAGCGTAACTATAATGTAAAAACCACTTTTTTGTATATTGTAAAGAAATGAAATAAATGTTATATTTTGATAGGTTTTTATTTTTGTTATTTGCTTTTAAGGCCTCTTTCCAGCGTTGCTCCGATGATTCGCGTTAGACATGTCATTGAGCGATTGTCATCGAGACGATTGCGTTTGACAATTTGTACGTCTGACACTGTTTAACAGCTTGTAACCTTTATTATTATACACAGAAAAGTGTTTTGAAAAAATAAAAATGTAAATTATTATAACGAAAAAAAATGACACGTGCATTGCATGCGCTTGTGTGGCTTAATATAAATAAAAACTTCATCATAAGTAACTATCGATGATAAAAACGATGATAAAACGTTTTACATAACAGATAGATCTAAAGTACACGTGTTATCTAAACGCATAAGAGATTTTTTTCGTACTAATTGTAAATTGTTATTTATGCCGTCATTGCAAAAATATGATAATAGTGCTATATAAAACTGCTGTATGATAATGCAGATCAAAATCATTTGTTTGAGGGTCAAGAAATTTTCATCTAGTGTTCAAAGATTTACAAGATTTTGTTTTATAAATAAGACATAATAATTAAAGCGGAAATTTCTACAAACGTGTTAAGAATATATTTCTTTATATTTTTTGAACGATGTCTAGATCTAGTCAAATCCAGAAAAAGACACTTACTTGACTATTCAGCACTTTACGACAAGCGTTACTTGTTTGGAGCGATAAATAGGTGAGTGTATCTCGAAACGTATCTTACAATTAGTATATCTCGAAAGTGTTTCTTCTAACAGAGTTTATTGTAATTTTTGAAAGAAATATTAAAATGTTTAAAAGCTATTTTATCTCATTAAAATAAATGTCATTTTTAAATAATATTTCTATCGTTTATTTATGCCAGAACTAATCTTAGGAGTAAAAAATTAGTCATCCTAATAGTAAAAAAACTTATTTTAAAATATTGATACAAGTGAAAACAGTATCAGTCCGAATTTACTCATGTGTCGTATTCTGTGCGATTACCGAATTCATCAGTATTGTGAGAGTTAGTAAAATAAGCTAGTACATTGCTATTTGTACTAATAATAAATACATAATATTGTAACATTACATACATTACATTGTAAAAGCTTCAATTTTTTTATTTTAGATAAATTTTTGCAAGATATATGTTTTGAATAATTTATTAAGTTATGTCGCGCTTCAAAGAATGTTATTTATACATATACAATTATGAGATTATTTTAAGATTTATTTGTTGTAATGAAATCTTTTCTTACAGAGAATATAGTAACACAATGCAACTTGTTAATATTTTTTTTTAATATACATATTTATAATTATGTACAACTTTTATATTGAATTTGTAAGAACAGTGCATAAAGTGTTAATTGTGAATGGGAATGTATTATAATGTTGTTCTAAAAATTTCGAGAATATAGTCCACTTGTGCAATATTTCTTAAATAGCGGTTCTAGAGGACGCTGTGCGCAATAGAAGTTGTATATATTCTCAATAATCTAGTTTATTATTAAGTTCAAAATGATACGAAAAAATTGGAAGAAAAACAAAACGGAGAAGAAAAAAGATTTGGTGTTCCATCTGGCTCGCAGCAATAGGCAGCGGTAGGCAGCGCTACAGCACTTCTCGGCGTTCAACTGCTCGGTTTTCCGAAGAGGAGAGGCCGGCCGTAAGTATACCAACTTCTGAACTGTGCTAATAGCATGCATTACAGGAAAATATATTAATCAAAACATACGCAATTGGTTTTACTAGAGATTTTTTTATACTATTTTTGCATGACTTATATTGCGCACAGCGTTTACGAGAAGTGCCAAGTCAGCGAGACACAAGTCTCGCCAATCACTGTCGCACAAATGGACTCTACTTGGTGAAATCTTTCCAACGATACATAATACATATCCATTCGATTAATACTTCGTGCTTTTTTCTTGTTAGAAATATTCATGGGTATGTAAATATATCTAATTTTGCATATACTTTTTATGTAACTTAATAAACGTTATATTGGATATATGTTCAGAATATGTTTTTTTATTGAATGTACCAAATGCTACGTATATATGATCTGTCTTGTATTGACGTGAAAGAGAAACTTGATAGCAGTGACAGTGTTTAAGTCGCTACATTGAGATTGTTGCAAAAATATTAAAAGTTGTGTATATGATTGTTGGGGCAAAGAATTAATATTGAAAGATTTACAAGCTTACCTAGAAATAAAGCAGCATCTTTTACGCTGAGCTGTTTAGAAAAATAACGTAATAAAATAATTCTTAATAAGGTAAACTCTACATTCTTATTTATACTAACAATAATACCTAACATTAGAGTATTAGTTATATCATTGTACTTGGGTATCAACAAAAAAGTTTTTAATCTTTTTGTAAAACATAATTCATGCATAGTTAAAATGTATATTTTATATAAATTATTTGTATCCATTCGAAAAATGACATTTTTATTCGATTGTAAGATATTTATTTGATACAATAACATATTTTTTATGAAAAATATTATTCGTTCTTACAATTCATAAATTACATAACAATTTGTTATAAATATATTTATTACAAGATAAATGATTTTAAATATAAACCTACTAAAAAAAGCTACAATATAAGGAAAATTGCAAAATTGCAGTAACACAATGCAAGTTGTTAATCTTTTCTTTATATTTTTAAAAATTGTGTACAATTTTTATATTTAATTTACAAGAGCAGAGTGCAAAGTGTTAATCGCGAATGGGAATGCATTATATATTGTTGAAGAGATCTCGAAAATTTTAAATATACTATTTATGTAATTTAATATATGTATTTTTTCACGTTAACCTCTTTGATACGAGCGTTGACTATAGTCGACAACCTCCAACAGCAACAAATAGAAAATTTTATACAAATCAATAATACATTATTAGAAGACACGTATTACACAAAAGTATCCGCGTAGCAATAACTCCTCTCGCACCGAGTTTCTGTCGACTGTCAGATAAACACTACGTGGTGCATGTCCGCCGTGCCAAAAGGGTTTAAAAATTATTAAATCATTTATCTTTTTTAAGTATAATATAACATAATAAGTATTATATAATGTTTTTAAGTATTATATAACGTATTGACATTTAAGAGCAATTAAGGAACCCACAATAGAGATAAAAGGAAAATTAAGAAAACTGTAGTTTGTTCAACAAAAAATGATTATTATTTCATTGCTATTATGCATCGTTCTCATATTACTGTGCCATTACCTTATTCACTATGGAAGATTTTGGCAACTTATCGATAAAATACCAGGAGCACCGTCGCTTTTATTACTCGGCAATTCTTTTTTATGGTACACCAGATCATTAGGCAAGTAAAATTATGTACATTTGCAGATTACTGAATAGCATATAAATATTGTGTAAAAAATGTTTCTTAGTAAAATATCAAGTATAAATGATTTGATTGCACAACATTTTATTCAATTAGATTTACTTTTATTTTTTATGCAATAATATTTACTATTTTTTATCATTGTATATTTTTATTTTCAATTCTCACACTTAAATATAAAAAATTATGACGCAAAAATTCGGAACAATGATTGTATTATGATTAATGATACTTGTATCAGAAGTTATACAGATAAAATGAGATAACACTTATTCTACAGTTAATTAGTAGCGCGCATGTATAGAAATAATTGATTGTAACTCTTTAATAACTACATAAATTTAAAGAAAATTAGTTACTATTTTCTTAAATTTGAATTTCCAGAACAGCAATTAAAGACTCTGGAAAAATACATGAATATTTATTATCCTGTTGCTAAGATATGGGTTTTTCATAGTGCAGCTGTTTTTGTTGGTCATCCTGATGACGTAGAGGTAAAAGAAATATTTAAAGATAAGCAATCTTTATTATTATTTTAAAATTTTCTTTAAAATATTAATTTCTTTTAATCGTTTATTTCTTTAATTATGTATATATTAGTGTTTGTTCAAACAATATAAGAATAGAAGAGTATTAAGGTATCCATATAATTTGTATATGTAAATATATACACATGTACACACACACGCGCGCACGCACGCGCGCGCAAACACACAACTCATTATGATTAAGGAATCAAGAAAAATCGCCAATTTTTATTGTATCCTCAAAAAAATCACATAGCGATCCACCCGCTCAAATTAAAGATCCCGCTAGTAACAGAAATTCTCTACAAATTTTTTTACGCCAGGTGTAACGTAGCAAAGTCGTAT